CATATACAAGGATTAAGGGAAAGAATTCTTACAGTATTTTTGAATTTGTAACATACTCAGTAGTCCCTACTGAACTACAATAAAAGGAATGTGCTAACTGCCACTCTTTTAAAAAAGTATAATATAATTCCTTGCACTGCCGCTTTGAAATTAGAACCAAACCACATTTGCTGCTCAAGAGTTGATTTTTATGCACCAGCAGGATGTTGGATAGTCCCTGGAGGGAGACAGATTACAACCCACACTATGGCTGCATATGTCTCTGTCTCCCTCACACCACAGAAGGCAGTTCAGTCCTCCCTACAGGAATCTCTTCATGGAGTTCTATATTTCCCTGAAATATTCTGTCCAATTTTTCAGCAAATTGGAAGTTTGGGATTACATCATAGAATGTATTAGAGATCCATAGCCACACAGTGCTTGACAGTTAACATTAAATCAGTCACCGCAGCCACTGCAGAACTGAAAGAGGAGGATAGGACTCAGGGGCTACATACAGACGTTACACATAATATGGACTACGTGCTAGAAAATCAAACCAAGCCCATAACTGTACAAAAGTTTGGGGCACATAGATTGGACTAAAAGTGGTAGAACCTGGTCTAAAGTAGTCCTGGATCTAATCATAGATTCATAGATGTAGGGTCGGAAGGGACCTAAGTAGATCATCAAGTCCGACCCCCGGCCCTGGGCAGGAGAGAATACTGAGCTTATATGACCCCAGCTGGGTAATCATCAACCTCTTCTTAAAGACCCCCAGGGTAGGAGCCAGCACCACTTCCCTTGGAAGTTGGTTCCAGATCCTAGCTGCCCTGACTGTGAAATCAGTTCAGTGCATCAAACTTCTATACCAGATCCCCTATTGAATCAAGTTAGGTAGCTGTCCACTAGCATCCCAGGCTTCTTTGATGGTCCCTGATAGTTCTCCCCCCCCAACCCCCACACCCCGCCCTCCCAGGAAGGCACACTGGAACTTGGCCACACTCAGCTACTCCAGCTGAGCACCCAGCATGCCCCATCCCTGAGCTGAGACAGCAAAGCCTCTGTCCCCAAGCCTGCCTCCTGCCTGTGGCCAACCTTCAGCTGCAGACAGGAAATGTGGGGAAAGAAGAGAGTATCTGTAGCTCAATATTTTTCTATCTTTATACAATGTCCTTAGACCAGAGGTGGGGAAAATACAGCCCATTGGCCAGATCTGGCCCACCAACTGACTGGATCTGGCCCCATGGTGCTCTGCATGGGACCAAGCCCCACCAGTTCTTGCTGGAGCAGCCCACTCCCACCCATGCCCCAAGCCCCGGCTCCAACCAGCACATGCAGCTTCCAGCAGAGCTGTTCCTGGTGCTGCTCTGCTCCCAGCACTTCCAACAGGAGCCACCCAGCTGAAGCTTCCTGCCCAGCCACCTGGAGCAGCACAGCAAAGGCACAAGCAGGAGGAGGAACCATCACCAGAGACGAGGGGAGCAAAGCTGTATTCAGCTGGCTGCAGACACACTAGGAAGAGCCCTGCCAGAAGCTGTGTGCGCTGGCCAGAGCCCAGGCTGGCAGGGCTATTCTACTCCCCTTAACTCCAGCTGCAGCTCCTCCTGCCACCCCTCCCCTTGCTGCACTACTTTGGGTAGGGAGGCAGCTTTAGCTGGGTGGTTCCTGTCTTAGTGTACTGGGCTCTGGTTCCAGTTCCTGACTGTGTACCACTTGCTCCAACCACCTGGCATGAGCAGCCAGCTGGGCAGGCAGGCAGAGTGGGTGAAAGGTGGCTGAGAGCTGGAGCCAGAGCCCCCTCACCCACCCAGAGTGGCACAGCTGTGGCAGGAGTGGGAGGACAAGCCACAACTGGAGGGGAGGGAAGCAGAACAGTCCCACCAACTCAGGCCCCAGCCAGTGTATGCAGCTCCTGGCCGGGCTATTTCCAGTAACAGCTCCTCCTCCCACTCCTGCCCCAGCTACACTGCTCCAGACATGTGGACGGGAAGTTTCATCTGGGTGGCTCCTGCTGGAGGCGAGGTGAACAGAGCAGCACCTGGCCAGCTGCAGCTGCACCAGGAACAGCCCCACCAGGAGCTGTGCACTTGCCAAGGCTGGGTCCGGTGGGCATGAGCTGCAGCACACCATGGGCTGCTCCCAGCAGGAGCGGGTAGGGCTCAGCCCCATGTGGACTGCCATCGGGGCAACTTCAGACCATACTACACCCCCATACACACAACCCCTACCCTCCTCCACAGTGCAGGGCATGCAGGGAGCAGATTGTGGCTCAGCCTGGGCAGCCCTGAACTTTTACTGCCCCACAACCTGGGCCCATGGTCCCAGCCTCACCGACCTGCCCCACTCCCAAACACTGCTCCCCACCCACCCAAAGCCCCACAGATAGTTTTGATGAGTTGTTAGCAGGGGAGTAGGGGGAGGGTGCTGACCACAACAGCTCTTCAAAACTCCCTATATGGCCCTCTGGCCCAAATAATTGCCCACCCCTACCCTAGGCAGAAGTGGGATCAGGCCCCTTGGAGCTCCAAAGAACAGCATGTTGTGGCAGGAGTCACCTGGCAGCACCAATACATGTTAGGCAGAAGGTCCACAATTCCTGCAATTATGATTCTTGCAATCATGCCAGATGCCTGCTGCTGCCACCTCCCATTCACCCACTCTTGGGCTCTTCAAAAACCCTAGGGCTGCACTCAGGGCAGGGCCAAGGTGACAAAGGTTGGCAGCGTTTGGCCCCCATGCAGCAACTAATCAGGGGTTGCCTGGCCACTCCATTCTGTTTGGCATTCTCTGGCAGCCCAGGGAGCCCACAGGGCATGGTGGGAGGCATGCGGAAGTGCTTTCATCCTGCTGGCCTCGGCCAGTGCAGACAGCTTGTACACTCTCCCGCAAAGGGCAAGTGTGTGTTCTGTTCACTCCCAATCTTACCTACCCCTTTTACAGAAACCCACATAGGTTAGATTGATTCCACCTACAGCTTTTTGAATGTCTGTACATATCCAGTGTCTTTTATTGTCAAAATCATTGTCCATTTTTGCTATTGGTGAATCAGCAGCAGCACCAGGGCTTATGAGATACTGCACAGCAGGACCCACATCCCATCCAAGGCAAAGCAGAAGAATGCAAACATTAAGCTTGATACTCAATTGCCATTGCAGGTAGATGACATTTAGAAGGCAGGGTCTGCTACATTAACTGGAGCCTCAGAAGAGGTTATCAGTAGAGCTTACATCATTTAAAGAGAAACCACGGAACTTTCAATATTTCTAAATTTTTTCAAAGCCTTTGGCCATATCCTAGTATAATGAGATATATAAATGCTCTCCTTTTCTTTGGTCCTTTTGGAGTAATTAACCCCATATTTCTGCCACTTAAGGTTTCCACCAATAGTAGCAAAAAATGTGGATAAACAAGCTTATTGGATGAATCTGCCTTTTTTACCTCCTCCACTAGTTTAATTTATTAGTTAATTATCCCTTAGAATTTAGATTTTACAAAATGAATCTAATTGGATTATTTATTATTTGAAGTAGCTTTAATAAAATATCAGAGAAGTCCAAATACAATCTATGTGACATTTTATTTTCTCCATTTAGTAACGCAACTATTTGCTAAAATATCAGACTTAATGTTTATGATAAGAGGTTATTCTCCCTCTTGAGTAAGGAAATATGCTGTATTGAAATCCCAAACGTCAAGAACACTTATTGGTAAACTGTCTGGGAAAACTTTCATATTATTTCTTGCTTGCCTTTAAAATCCTTTTTCCTATTTGTAATGTTCCAGAATGAAATGACACCTAATGGGTTCTTTTTTCCCTAGAAGAAAGGCTACTTGTATACACACACGTGTGTGTATCCATACACACACACACACACTACCGCACTCATTTTTGTTAGCTGATGTTCTGCAAAGTGAGGTTTTCATTTTTAGGGTCTATTAAAAACCCTTTGAAGGAAGTGAAAGTTCAGAGACTATGACTATTGATTTGCATTCTCTTATAAGCATCTCCACAGATTCCAAGTTTTAATTAAAGGCTGCATTGTGGTCTAGGAACAATTGTGTTCAAAGGATGGCAAAAGTATTTTGTTTTGTTTTTTTACTACAGCAGGGGCTGGTCACAAGGTACTTCACTTTCCTTATCATGGAACCTGAACAATGTTGCCTCACCAGAGTATAAGCCACTTTAAAACATACTGGTTTGAACATAGCCTTGGCCCTACCCTCTTCTGCATGTATCAGTAGAAGGAAGGGATTGCACCTGAGAAGGTGCAGCAGTGAGCCCATGCTTCTTGAACACCTCGGAGATCTGAAAGCCAGATAGACTGAACTATTGCTGACATAGTGATATTGCAGATGGATTTATCTGTGCGTAAACAACAAAGAGATCACAATGTAGAGGTAGATTTGTGAGGACCACTGAATCCATGAGAGAAACAATGGTGGCCAACCATTGCTAGCAGGGATAGGATATAGATTCTTTCACAACAAATTCACAGAGATGATTTCAAATCACAGTCTGAGGGGTCAAAGGAACACATTGTGCAGATAGTAGGACAAAGACATCAATAGCACAGTTTGGGTTTAAATCTGGAGAAAGCAAGAGGGAAGATCAAAGAATAAGCTTTCATCAGATGGTATAAATTTGGGGAGGAAAAAACCCACACACTCCCAAGCAATGGGAATGAGGAGAAGGAAGAAAGAAGGGGAAAGTCAAAAGTAGGGAAGAGATGGGAGCAATATAAATATTTATATGAATAGTACAAGAAGACTTGAATGCATTTCTTTAACCATGAGAACATGTCTTCATTGCCTCATCTTCATACCTATCTGAGAGCCTGAGGTTGAGGCTGAGAGGGAAGGGAACCAGAAAGTTTTGTATTCACTGAAAATTTTGGATGTCTAGACAGCTATGAACGTTGCTGACATTCACCCTAAAAAGTCTCTCTCTCACACACACAAAAGAAAGAAAGAAAGAAAAGAAAAGAAAAACAGTTTCAAACACAAATCAACTTGCTTTCCACCATGCAGCCATATTTTTATTTTGCAAATTAAAAAAACAAACATTTTTGAGTCACGCTCCCCTCCCATTCATATCCTCCCTCCTATTTAGATAAGTCATAATTCTTTTCTTGTGACATCATAATGCATTGCCATGAAAATCCATTTACAATTACAAGCACAAAACTGTAACTTCTTTGCATGGAAAGCAAATCACATGAAAGGAAAATTGTGGTTTAAACAAAGATCTTCTGTAATTAGAGATAATAACAAAGGAAATATTCATAATGACATCAAAGAATTCTTGTTTGAGCATTGTTTTTATTTGCCTCCCGAGGGAGTGTAGAGTTCTCTAATAACACAGTACTGATTTAAGAGGATGGGGATTAAAAAAAAAAAGGGAAAAAAAAGGAAGAGGGAACTACTGAGCAAATCCAGTTCCACACTGAATATGGAAAAAACACATGGAAATCCAGAAGCAGTTATCTTATCAAACTAATCACAGGCTAGACATAACCTATACACTGAATATGATATACAGAGATGTCAGAAGCAGTCAAACAGTTTTCCAGATAAGCACTGCACACAACACACTCCTCTGTAAAAGGAAACCCAGGGCGTGTTTCTGTACATATGGGAGACAGAGAGTGGGGAAATGAATTTCATCCACAAACATAAACATCAGCCTAATTTTGTGAAGCATGCGCAGCCAAAAATAGTCACGAATAATGTTACGCAATAAAACCTGGTATATCTCCCCGGTTCCAGTCTGGGAATCCTTGGCAGTTTGTTTGAACCAAGGCAGTAGTGTGGATGCAACACTGGTTATATAAACGGACTGCTCTTTTCTAAGGAGGACAGCGTTTAAATATACAGAACATTAAAGCTGCATGCCTCAAAATACCCTTTGCGGCATCAGTTCAGTAATTAAAATAGCAAATGATGATCAAAATTTTATAACACTTCTACTCCCTTGGAAAAAAATGGGTCAAAGAATAAACAGAAACAAACTATCTTTTGGTCCTTTTGCTGCACTTGGGAGTGAGAAAAAAAAAAGGGGGAGATAAATCTGCATAATACTGAACTGAATCTCTAATTCCAGTCAGCTTTTATCATTCAATCACCAAGTCTGCATGTGGAAAAATTCATGCTAATTCCCCCTAGCAACAGCCTCGGCCTATCAGGACACTCCATGCACCAGGCAGCTGCCAGCCAGCAAGAATAACTCTTAAGTAGGTCAGGCCTGTATTTCTAAAAATGCTACGGTCTAGTAACCCCACTGTCCCGTCTGTCTGCCCTGCCCCATAATAACCTCAATTGCTGGGTGACACAATGACATACTACCCTGTTAGAGCGCAATCAAATCATGCTGCATTATTCTGCTGCAAGCATCACTGCTGGATGAAGGACCCTTCGAGGGGCAGCATTAATCAGGCAGCCATTCATGTCCACTAGCACTTCACTCTGGAGATGGGTCCTGCATTAATGACCAGCTGTTTGAACTAACACAAACAAAATAATGTCTTCCACCCTGTTGAGTGTACAGAATACACTATTCTGACCAGGCAGGTTATGCTCATTGACTAAGTCTAAGATGTAAATTAAAATGGGCTCAGACAATGCCAGCTTTTGTGACCTTCTATTAATTAAAGTACATATGTTTAAATTATATTACATGCAATTCAAAGAGCTATTGGTTTAATATACAGTCATCTCCTCCTCCAAATTTGTGTTCACGGTCAAAAAAACCTGTGTTTGTGCAATACAAAAATCTAGCTGCCCCAGTGTCTTCAGGAGGTAAACAAACAGAGCTGAACTGAGACTGACTTCTGCTGGGGATATGGAAACTAAGCGAACAACCTGAACGGAAGCAGAAATGAAAACTGAATATTGCAAAAGGGCATTGATAAAAGCCATGTAAACATTTTACAGCAAGAATGTGAAAAAGGTCAATCAGAGCAGATTAAGTACCCCCCACAATCATTGCTTAAATGCTGCTGTGTTAGCAGTGGAGATCTAAAATGAGCACAGAGTACAAAAATATCCTAAAATGGCCTGGGCATGTTCCTTTAAGAGCAAGCATCCCTGGTACTCTGTAGTGTTCCCAAAGAGCCATTCATGTTTGGCTTCAAGATTTTGCACTGAGCTTCACAAAGGTCATTGCTTTTTTTTGCCATCTTACACAGCAGCTGAACGTAAACCACATCAGGCCACCCTAATCCTTTTCGAGTGGTATTTGAGAATCACATCATTAATGCCAACACAGAATTTCACCATACTTTCCTTTGCATTTTCCTTCCTTTTAAACACCTCACTGTCTCTTGCCATTTTTTGCCCTTTCCAGCATGCTTCAGAGTCATACTGCTAGCTGCTCATACCAGAGGGAGCCATGAAAGGCATTTTCTTGGATAGTTCATCTGCATTTTTAAAAGGGTTCACACTTTCGCTTAGTGACTATGTGCCCTCTGACAAGTTGATAATTTACCCTTCAATTATGCAGAATTCAGCAAGTCTTTTGCATGTAATCCATCCATGTTTGATTTATGAACACAGAAGATTAATTAATCCGTTTGCTCTCATTTGAACCAGGCTTGATAACTAGGTTATGACTATCTCCTTATTTTGTGGCATACATCACATAGTTATTCTTGGAGAGATACAGTCGCTGACGTAACCATGAACTGCTAATTACAAGCTGCTGACATTTTGCTTGTCTCTGCAGCTTTGAAGCTATGAGCTAGAGTCTGTCTTCTTCTTCCTTGTTTGCTTTAAAGTCTCTGAGTTGGAAACACAGCATTCAAGAAATGGAGAGTCAAGGTGCAACTCCTTTGCAGAACTCAATGCATTTTCCAAGGCTATTTTTCTTTAAACAAACAAAACTACAGTTTGGGAGTAATAAGACTCCTGTACCCCCGCACAGGAATGTTATCCAACAGCCGGCTAAATATAATCCAACACACAGGCCTGCCTTTGTAGGACTGGTAACAAATAGTGGAAGGGCCAGACAGGCGTCTTGCAGGGTAGCTCACCATGACTATTGGGAAATTCCCTCATACGTATTTGAGAATGACTTCATGGTCTGGATTAATGTATAAAAAGAAAAAGCAAACAAAAAACAAAAGCGAAATAACTCCTCCTCATAGTAGGCAGCTGCTAAAAATCATCCCAACTCCTCACTAGCTGAGAGCAGCATTTGTTTCCCTTAACTTCATTTTGCACATTACTCAGATATGGCCAACCTGAGCTGTCTACTGCTTTTTACCATACTAAGTCTGTCTGTATTATGACAAGTCCATCTGTTCTAAAAACACAATCTCTCAAATGTCCATCCAGAAATGAAAAATATCAGCATGCATTTCAGAGCAATTCACTGCCAAACTGTGAGCATTGCCTCTTTTCACTAGACCAAGAATCTCTTTTTGTAATTATAGGCTGATTTTGAAATTCTAAAAAATGTAAATATAATGCTGAATTCATCTCAGTTGAGCATTTAGCCATCTGAAGTCTGTGGTAGCCAGCTGGTCCAGAAATCATCTGGGATACATTTATTTTGATTAGATTGATCACATTTCTATTTACAATATAGAATTTTTCACCATACTGAATACAGCTGTGTTTATAAAGATTTTAAGATGAAGAAAACAAAAAACCCACAGTTCCTCTTGCCACAATGCAGAAGATGCAGTGCTTCAAGGTGTTAAATTGAAAGGAGCTGCTTTCACATTTCGTACAAAGAATTCTGCATACATCTGTTTTCATAAAGTGCCTTCTTATTCAGGAAATGGGTGGAGAGCTGTAGCTGAAAATATAAGCTGCAATCAAGTCTGATCCAGCAAAGTGACAAACTTCCTGTGTAAATTGGTCAGAAATGTCTTTTTTCATGACTACATATGCACACACTCACATAGACACACACACACATATATATATATATATAAATATATACTGCATGGCCGCTCTTTTCCCTGGGGACATCGGTACAGTCACCTAGCTCATCAGTCCTCCTTGACAGCATCAGGAGTGTTCAGGCTACAATTTACAGTCCCTCCATCCATATATTATTTTGCAAATTATGCCATCTCTAGAATGAGAATGCACAGAATCAGACAAACAGCATACAGCATTTCTTCTTTCTGTTCACTTGCTCTCTCGCTGGCTGGCTCGCTTCTTTCCAAGGCTTTACCCTCACAGGCGGACACAACAGATACCTTTTATTTATCCATCTCCAGCACAATGCTGAGGTGAAGCACTACTGCATCACTGTGGCTTCTCCCACGTTAATCCTTTTGAGCCACAAAGGCTGGATTCTTGCTGCTGATGCCCTTGTTGTGTACTGAATTACTTTGCGTCATATTTCCTTAAACTTTCTCCCATCCCACCTTAGATTAACAGCCCACCTCAACCCCCAGAAAAACACCCTACATTGCAACCCTTCTTTTCCAGCAGCAATAGGAAAAAAATGCGCACAGAGTTCCATCGCTGCTCTTCCTTAGCAGTGTGCAGACGAGTGAGTCTCAAATCAGACATGCCAGGGTGAAGCACAGGCAGTGAGACTGCAGCAGCCCCAGTAACAGCAGCAGAAACAGCAGCAGCAGCCGCCCAGGTAAATGGGGAAAAAGCAGGATACGCCGAGAGCGATGCAGCATCGTAGCTGTAAGGGAAGACAATCTCGCTTCTTCCGAACAGCGCAGCTCTAAGCCTGCAGGAACGGAGGAACGGGAAGACCCAAAAATAAAAATCAAAGAGTTAAGGATAAAGAATAATCATAATTAGTATTATTATTATAAATGGTTACAACTTTATTTCTATTTCTCTGGGCTTTTTTTTTTGGCTCTCTTCCCCCCCACCAAAGTCTCTCGTGTTGCTGAATGTTACTGTCCAGGAGTGCCGAGTCACAAAGGCTCACTCTCCAAAGCGCAGCAAAGCCCAGCGTCACATGAGAAACCACATGACGCACCCGAATCGGATGCTGATGTGGTCAACTATTTACTGGGGGGTGGGGGGGGAATCTTGTACGAAGCATGCCCCTCTCTAATGGTTAAAATGATTTTTTTCTTTTAACTATACCCCCTCCCAAAAAATATTAGATATCTATCTGTAAACTACCAGTACTTCAAGAGATGAGAGGATGCTGTTCCACAGACACTAGCTGGATGGCAGCAATATTACTTCTAGGTTACATTATTCAAAGCTGATTCCACTTAAGTGAATTCCTGAAAAGCATACTCCATATCTTTATAGGGCGAACAGGCTCAGAAATCCAATTCCATTATCTTTCCCTGCAATCTGCAGCTGAACTTGCATTCTGAATAATTTATTTTAGACTAATAAAACATTTGCAGAGACCACTCCTATCCCCTATCTAGCAGCACAGGCTAGACATGCTCAAGTGGGGAATGCTGGTCCCAGTGCAATGTACAAACAGAGGGGGCATTCATCATTTTTATAATTGGTGATTTTACTAGAGCAACCTGTCCTACAAGCAAGCTGGAAAAACAAGCAAAAGGTTGCTCCTGCTTTACTGAATACAACAGGGCTCTGGGTCTGGCAGCTTGGCATATGACGGTTTCAAATAGGGGAAATATTTTAACATTGCCCTGATGAAAGCTCCAGATCTTGTGACATTTCTCGGTAGTGAGAGAAGCAGCAATCATTAGTTCCTGCAGAGGTGCTGTGCCATGGTGTTCAACTTCTTCACCTCTCCACAGCCCCTCCTAGCCCCAGCTATGGCCCTGGGACTTCAGAACAGTGTTTGCTCCAAAAGGTTAGCATCCTTGCTTGTTTTATTCGCATGCCTGCGGCATGGAACTAAGGGAGTGGTTGGCTGACAATAAAAATAAAAAAGAAGAAAAGCAGCTGACTTTGATGACTGATGGAATCGTTGCTGCATAAAGTTATCATCCAACAGAGTTAACAGTTTGTTGCTTGTTTTACCCTAGCATTTGTGCAAATGACAGAGCAGGTGGCACAGAGTCTTCCATCCCCTTTGTCTGCACCACCACGCAATGCTGCGCTCCCTGGCTCTTTGCACTGAAACCGTAAACGGTGTCAGGAAAATGTAAAAAGCTAGCTGTCGTGAACCCACACAGCTGTTGTCCATAGGATCTTGCTGCAAGCTGCCAGGTTTATGTAATGGAGATCAAGCATAGACTTCCCCAGAAGAAAGATATGTATAGTATGTGAGTGGGAAAAGGGAGCACGAGCAGAAGAAAGTGCTCTTTTGTGTTGTTTTCAACCTTCCCAACTGCTCATGCAATAACAGATTACAAGAATTTGCACAAGGCAGTTAAAGCCTGTTCTCATTGGCTCTTAGCAGAAAGGGGCTTTTCAATGGGCTGCACCTAAGAGGTGCCAAGTTCCACATAAAATCCAGATGTAGCAGCACCTAAATGTGAGGGAAATCTATGCAGAGGGCTCCAGAACTATAACCATGTATGCAGAGATCATAAGGACATCACAGGTATCAAAAGGAGTTTTAAAATGCAGCGTGCCCTGTTATATTTAGATCCATTTCAAAACTGCATTGGACATAATTGGATATTGGCACATATAAAACAAACTTAGCCCTGTGGGTAGTGAATAATTCAAATTAGGCACTTGTGTTCAGTTTTAAAATCGATAAAGCTGCATGGCCAAACCT